GGCTAAAGGAGAACAAGAAGAAAAATCCAAAAGCATTGTTTTTCATCTAACAAGCAATCCATAACTGGGTTTTCTCAAGAATTCCAGCAGCTAATACCTCAAACCAAATATGGACAATTATGCAAACTGAGTTTCAAGACTCAACAAAGGTAATAATCGTCGAACTTAAAACTCTTTGGCATGAGTTTAGCTTTAATCATGGAGGAAATGAATCAGCACAAGATTTTTTTTAGAGCAATTGCAATAGTTAGTCAAAGAAAATCATACGAAGATCAAATAACTAATCAAACTATTGTTGTAAAAATTTTAAGGAGTTTAATTTCCAAGTTTAATCTTGTTATAACTGCAATTGAGGAGTCCAAAAACTTGTTTAAATTTTTATTTGATGAATTAATGGGTTCTTTGTAAGTCCATGAGGCAAGGTTAAACAGATCAATTGAAAAAGATGAAGATAAAACATTTCAAGTGAAGGGGGAGACATCCAGTTCAAGAGAATTTGACAAGACAACAGTAGGAAGAGGTCGGGACAGAGATGCAAAGAACTGTGGTAGATGAAGAGGCAGAGGTTCTGAGTAAAAGCACTCCATTAATGAACAAAGAGAGAGCAAGAGTGGCATCCAATATTATCAATGTAAGAAGTACTGGCATGTTAAAGCAGATTGCTAGTATAAAAAAATGCAAATCAACTATGTAAAGACAACTAATGAAGAAAGTAAGTTGTTCATGACTTACTATGATATTAATGAAGTTGCAAGTGATGTATGATTTATAGATTGTGACTACTCCAACCATATGTCAGACATAAAGATAATATTTAAAGAGTTTGATGAGACACAAAAATGACAGTTAAGATTGAGGATAATAAAAACATTCAAGTTGAAGAAAAATAAACAGTAGCAATTAAAACTAACACCGATAAAATAAAACTTCTCCATAACATGCAATATGTTCATAGATTATCATATAATCTATTAAATGTTGGACAATTAGTGGCTTGTGGCTAAATAGTTTTATTTGATGATGGAGCTTGTGTTATCAAAAATAAAAAGATAGGTCAAACGATGGTTAATGTCCAAATGACCAAAAACAATGCGTTTCCACTTGAAGTCTCAAATGTGAAAATTTTTGCTTTGGTTGCTATGCAAAGAACAGCTCATAATTGTGACATTTAAGGTGTGGACATCTTAATTACAAGGGCTGTAGTTGCTGGGTCAGAAAGGTAAAGTTTTAGGCTTGCTAGAAATTGATTCCTTTGATTAGTGTGAGGGTTGTATTTATGATAAATAAACTAGACATTTGTTTCCTATTGGAAAGGCTTGGAGAGCAATTACTTCTTGAGTTAATTCATGTTGACTTGTGTGGTCCAATGAACACAGAATGTTTTGGTGGCAGTAGATATTTTTTAATCTTTACAGATGATTTCAGTTGCATAAGCTGCGTGTACTTTATGAAATTCAAGTCAGAAACTTTTGAGAACTTCAGAAAATTCAAAGCTTTGATGGAGAAGCAAAGTGGGCTATGCATTAAAGCTCTCCGTTTGAATAAAGGTGGTGAGTCCTTATCAAATGAATTCAGCCACGTTTGGAAAGAAAATAGAATTCGCTGGGTACTAATAACACCTTACACTTGGAGTAAAATAGGGTTGCTGAATATAAAACCGTACCGATATTGAGATGGTAAGAAGTTTACTAAAAGGCAAAGGACTTCTAAATCAGTATTAGACAGAAACAGTGAATATTTCAGTGTGTTTCCTGAATATATCTCCCACAAAGGCTGTGTTGAATCAAATATCCAATAAAGCTTGGAACGGTATAAAACATTCAGTATGCCACTTAAGAATTTTTAAATGTGTTACTTATGCTTTGGTTAACTCTCAAACTCGCCAAAAACTAGATGAAAAACCAGAAAAATCTATTTTCATCTATTATTATCTTGAAACATTTATGTTATATAACATTTTCATTGGCAAATTGATAATCTGTAGAAATATCATATTTAATGAAGAAGCAAGCTAGAATTGGAGCAGCAGCAATGCTGGAACTTTCGATTATGGTAGTTGGTATTCTCATGTCTCAAATTTCGAACTATTTACATTTATCGATAGTGATTAGGTAGGCTCACTATATAATAGAAAGAGCACTTCAGGAAATGTTTTCGGCCTTGGATCAGGTGCAATAATATGAAGTCCAAAGAAGCAAGTCACAACAACATTATCATCTTCAGGGGTAGAATGTGTGGCAACCATTTCCTCAGCTTGTCAATGCATATGGCTTAGAAAAATTCTTACTGATCTTCATCAAAAGCAAGAGAAAACAACTGAAATTATTTGTCAGACCAAGTCCACAATTGCAATGGCTAAAAATCCTGCATTTTATGGACGAATAATGTACATCAAAATCTGCTCTCATTTTATTCGTGAGCTAGTGGCAAAAGGAGAGATTGTAGAAGTTTTGGAATACTAATGAACAAGTAATAGATATATTCACAAAAGCACTTCTATATCAGAAGTCTGTTTACTTCAATCACTACTTGGCGTATGCAATTTCGAATTAAGGGGGAGTGTTAAATATTTGATTCAAAATTAACAGCAACTATTTTTTACTTTTACTGTATTTAAACTTAGCCTAAGTTAGATTTAATTTTGTGCATGATTCTCTACTTTTTGTTGAAGCACATTTCCAGTAATGCCAAGTAACATTGCTTCTTTGTTGAGTTCAATTGAGATGTAATACTTATAAAAAGACAACTTTTGGTTATGAAAAATGAAATAGAGCAAACAGTTTCAGTTCACTTTCTGCCCACCAAGTGTTTATCAAAATTCCTCTTGTTGGCTGTTATATTCTCTCTTTTTGTAGTGTTTGAATTTCTTTTCTTCTCCAATAACCTTGTCCCTTGGTTTTTCAGCCTTGCCTCCCACCTAAAGTTCACTAGTGCAATATTTTGTTAAATTCACCGACAGCTTCTCTATGTTCAACCCCATTTGCCTTTTGAATAACCCTCTTAACCTCTACCTGGGATCTACCTGACAAGTGAAAAAGAACTCCCCTTACCTATCATTTTTCTCCTAAGCATGTAAATATCATTTTTACCTCCATAACTGCTAAACAAGTGTTTTTCAGTTCGGTTCCTGCGCTGATGTTATCCACGAAGACAGTAAAGAAAGACTTCTGCCACTTTCAAATCCTCGTTTAAGCCTCAGTATGCAGTTCCAATTTCCTTTGTTCCTTCCTACATCTCTTTACATGAGAAACCTTCACTCGAAAAGAAATAATATTACTTAAACATGGGAACATAATCTTGTAGAAAAATGGATTAAATCTTCTCTGAAGAAATCTTATAATAACACTATATACTTCTAACATTTTTTTATTATATCAAATTTTAACTTATATTTTAAGGATATCTAGGTCAATATATCTAGGTTTTTTTTTTTAATGTTTTGTTTTCTTATTTCCTATTTATCATCTCTTGCAATCATAAGAACTTAAACATAAAATCTGAACTCTCTAATAATTATATAAAGAATGACATCATATTTTTTCTAAAATTCTTTTGAAAAAAACTCACTTGGTAGAGTTATTGTTTGCCTTATCCATTTAAACTCAAATCATAGTATTATGGATTTACCTTACCAACAATAAGATGTGCCACAACTTAATGAAAATTTGATATACAAATAGCACAAAAAATTTAATACACGGTTAAGAACATACAAAAGTTTGATAGATAAAGACGTTAGATATAAATTGATTCTAACTTTGAGTATTTTTATTATTCTAAATCCCATGTTTGAGATTGTTGCTTTCACTTGATCACCAAAACAACACTCTCTTAACTTATTACTCATTTCATAATCATTGCTTTAGCTCCCTTAGCTACCAAATAATTCTTTAAGGTCTATTAGCTTTTTTCCTCCACCTTTTAAGGCCATCGCCATTATGTTTTAGATTTTTCCATCAATTCTTCTTCTTCTTCTGCCTTTTTCCATTTGCATTTCTCTCCTCTAACCACACTCATTTATGTTTTTTTTTCCTACGGAACAGACAACACCGCAACCACTGAATCTATGAACTCCATCTCTTTAGACTCATGTGCAGCACTCAAGTCGAACTAGCACTAAATCTTAAGTATACACTTCCTAACTCTTCATCTCCACTGCTTTCTCTGTCACAAGTTTCCTTCAAAGTTTATATATCAGTAAAATTTAAAATTATCCACGAAGACTCATAAGACAATTCTCTACTATCCTAGTGATTGCTCCTTGCAATAATTTAACATACATATGGAAAACAACTCGAAGACTCATTTGACGCACAACAATTTTTTATTATAATATACGAATTTAATTTGCAAAAGCAAGATGATTTGCTTATGAAAACCCAAAAAGCAAAGAATGTGCTCTTCAACTTGTAGATATAATATAATTAGGTTAAGTTTGATTTGATTGGCTTCTTTTAACTAAAAATTGTTCTCTTTCAACTTCTCCACACGAAAGCATCTTTCCCTTTCTAAATTATATCAACAAACCAAGCTGGTAATTAAATATATTTTGTTTCTGGGACCTGATATTAAGTATTTTTTTTTTTTTTTCTAGTAAATATTAACATTGAGTTTAAATTTTATAGAATATGAATGTGAGTATATTATAAATGTAATTAAAATTTGAAGAAAAAAAGCAATCATCATGATTCAAAGTAACTTTACTAATTCAGATTATTTTATTAAACATAAAAGAGAATATAAATATATAGTTATCAAATCAAAAGTAGAATTGAAATTGATTTAATTATACATTAAAAATCAATATAAAGTCTCAAATAATATGGGTTTTCCTTATAACGGTTTATATACATATATGTATATTTGTACAGGGTTACTCTTGAGTTAAACCCAAAATAAGATGTTGAGAAAAATGAGTGGAATTTTACCTTTGCGGGTGAAAAGATTTGCAAGCCCAAATGAAAGTGTTATTAAAACAATAATATTAAGCCCATTGCTTGATAAATTTATAAATATGTATTAAAGAGCGTATGGGGCACAGATTCTAAATATGATTACAAATTTTGAAATCTTAATAAATTAATTAAAATAAGAAAATTTGACGAAGATAAACGTTGGTCCTCTTTTTAATTGAAAAAACCAAATGATGTAATTAAAGATGGCACTGCAATATTAAAAATTAACCAACGTTCTAATTAATAACAAAATCAAATCTTTCTTGCTGGTGGGATCCTCGTCATCTCCATTAATCTTCTAGTTTCATTCTGTTCAAGAGGAAAACAAGAACATGGAAATGGCAATCAGTACATTATACAATGTTATGGATAACAATTTAAAAATTATGATTAATTTTATAATACACACCCATTGCTCTTCTGCAGAATGAGAGAATAACAATTAGAACTGCAAGACCTGCTAATACTCCCACAATAATTGCTACTGTTTTTCCCATTTCATCTTCATTGGAGGAATCTTTTACCCAACAAAAAGGAAAACACAAGACATTAATGGGAATTAGCTTCTATTCCATAAATTATAAAAAATATATATATATTATATTATCTACATCTATACATATATCTAGTGGCTGTTAATGGAACAAGACAGTACATGAACTATCTATAAGTATTCAATTATATATTCGCAAAATATTGGAACCATTCTCTTGAGATTTTCTACATCATATTAGCTTTCAACAGAACTTTTATAGCATATCAGCCGCTATGTCGAATGAAAATGGGTGCTAACTAATCCTTTCCATTTGCAAAAACGAAAAACGATCATATACATATACATATACATGTGTATGTTATACATGTGATGCTCTAAAGAATAGGATGCCAATTAAGTCTCTTTTTATCCAAAACGCTGATTAAAATTAACCCCCTAGAGAGGAACAATCAAATATGCTATAGCTAAACGGAGAAAGGAGAGAAATTAAAGATGAAAGAGATAACAGAGCCAAGACAATAAGTAATGGAGGTGCCTAAAAGTAAGCAACTAAAGTATATGTATATTATCTGCTTTACAAAAGATTACTTCCCAAAATTTTCAACTCCTCTCTCTCTCTCTCTCTCTCTCTCCCCCAAACCCAAGAAAGATGTATAACTAAAGTAGTCATGAAAAAATATATCTATAGATATGAAATATGGTTTGACTCAATTCCTGTTATAGGTCCTTTAATTGACATTTACGAAGCTTCAATAACACAATCTTTATTCTATCGAGGTAATAATAAGACAAGTGATAATTTGATTTTAAAAAAAAACAGCAGTAAGTTCATGCAAAGGAAAAGACAATCTATATATATATATATATATATATATATGTATATATGTACAGTAGTAGTAATTAGTTGCACCTGACGACGAGGAGTCGTAATAGCCAGAAGCCCAGTACCGAGCATAACACTGAGCCAAGAAAACATCAGCAGCTGCAGCTGATCCACATAAAGTTTTCAACTTTCCAACAGCATCAGCCAGGCAAGAAGAACAATCAGCCTGGTTCAAATCACCTAAACACTGTGCAAAACCCTCCACCAACCCTGAACTGCTAACTTTAAACCCGATACCACTTTGCAAATCTGCTAAAACATCATCTCTCCGTTTATAAAACTCCACATCATTGTTCACGCTTTTTCTGCACTTCTTGTAAGCAAGACTCGTGTCAAGCTTTCCCAAGAAATCTATGCGCTCGTATCTCAAAAAACACCCTTCAAGCTGAAAAGAAGCTCCGTAAGAGTAAGGACAGACGAGACCAATTTGGTTTACAGCACCTTCAACACATTTGTTGCAGTCAGTTGGGTTCAGATCGCCTCTGCACTGGTACAAGCCATAAACGACGCCTTCTTGGGATGTTGGTGAGGTCCCATTTCCAATTGCGTAGCTGTTGTAAGAGACTTGAGATGAGGAGCTCACGACTGAGGAGAGGAAAGAATTGAGAGTGGATTCAAAGGGTGAGTTAGGAGAGTATTTTTCTTGTGAGCAGCCTGCGTAGATGAAGACATGAGCAGTTACTGAATAAATGTTGAGAGAAAACAAGAAGAGAAAGAGTAGTGAAGAAATTTGTATTGAAGTGTGAAGTTGAAGGTTTCTCATCTCACTCGGAGGCTTCCTAATTTGTTCTTTGGGTTTGTGTTCATCATTTGTTTTTGTCTTTGTTGTGTGTGGGAATTGTAATGTACGGGGAGTATTTTCCTTTTCCTTTCTTTTTTAAAGAAAAAGAAAAGAAATTTCCCATTTTATCTTTAATCCGAATAGCCTCATATATGTGTACGTATTTTAAGAGAAAACCTATATATATAAACTTGAGTATATAAACTAGTGCCACTGATTTTCCCTGAAAAATTAAGATAGGTATATATACTTATTTTATCAAACTAACTAGTAGGTATGATATAGAATTATATACGGATAAAGATAATGGTGATGGATCAACCAAATGGAAATATATATATATATATATATATTAAAATACGGATCAAAAAGAACAAGTTGGTGGATACCCTGCAACTGCGAGAGTATATGTACTAATTTCTTTAGATGAATAAAAGCATATATACATAAATATGATTCCATTTTTCATTTTCTGCGTACACAAGGCTGCCAGCTGAAGTGGCTCTTTTTCTCACGTCCATCAATTTTTTTGCATCACTTGTGTTCTTTATTGAATACATAATGAGAGTGGCCAACTAGCCCATTGTGCAATATAATGGCCCAGCCCATTTAAAGATAACATTTTACTTTACTTTATATCGCAGAGGCTAATAATTTGGACCACCAAACATTATTTCTTGCCTTTAGTTATATAGATTCATAAGGTAAAATAGTTGAGCAAAAGTGACAGTAAAATCACATACTTTATTCATTAACCATAAATAAAGGAGGTTCTGTAGGGCACTTCAAATTACCGTGGATAGATACATTGGAATTTTAATTCAACAAATTATATTAGATTCATGTATGAATTACTTGAAGGTAATGAATGCGGTGGATGTTAGGTTCTAAAAATAAATAAAATTAATTGTGTAAATTAAGTTAATTATAAATTAATTAACAGAAATTAATAATCATAACCCTAAATTAAATTAATGTACAATGAAGTAAAAATTAATAACTACAAAATTAAATAAGCTCAAAATTTTATATAAAAAAATCTTTCAATATAAAAGAAAAAATTACGGATCAATCTCTAAATTAAATCCATTATTAATAAAAATAAGTAAAAAGTAATTCATCAAAAATTAAACCCATAACAGAAAAAAAAAAAAAAAAAAAAAAAAAAAAAGCAATCTTTTCTTTGTACAGAACTTAAAAGAAAAAAGGAAAACAAAATCAAAATTTAAACTTCTTTGAAAAAGACAAAATTGCGATGATGTCACTAAGAAGAGAGAATGGAAGCTACCTTTTTTTTTTCTCTTGGCAGCCACTCAAATCATATATATATATATATATATATTTCTCTTCTTCTTCATTTTTTCCTCTTGGCGCATAGCCTCTCTTCTCATACATATATATATATACCTCTAAAAAACTGCAACCCTAATTTATTTTTTTTCCTTTTTAAATTACTTATTTGTCCTTTTTGGGCTAGACACATAACCAACAATCTTCCCTTCCAGCCCATGAGAAGATGTCCACCATACATTACTCAATGTCCAATCAATCTCACCTTCTTATAACAAGACTGATGCTTCTCACGAATCACTATCTTGGTCAGCACGTCAGCTAAATTTTTATTAGTGTGAATCTTTTTCAATAGCATATCTTTATTATCCATGACATCTCGTATCCAATGATATCTCACATCAATATGCTTAGTACAATAATGATATGTGGCATTCTTACTCAAATATAGAGCACTTTGGCTATCACAATTCATTACATACTCATATTGCTTCAAACCCAACTTTTCAAAAAATCTTTTCATTCAAAGCATTTGTTTATCTGCTTCAGTCAAAACTATATACTTTGCCTTAGTTATAGATATGACAACATATTTTTACAATTTAGACTATCACAATACAGCTCCCCTGCAAAAGTAAACACATACCCTAAAGTAAACTTCTTACTATCAAGGTCACATGCCATGTCTGCATCTGCATATCCCTCTAGAATTGATTCTGAACCTCTAAAATACAAGAACATCTTAGAAGTACTTCTCAAATATTTGAAAATCTAATTTACAACTTCCCAATAACTCTTACCAGGATTAGAATAAATCTACTTACCAAACCAACAGCACGAGCAATATCTGGTCGAGTGCAAACCATAGCATACATCAAACTCGTAACTACAGAGGAGTATGGAACAACTGACATTTTTTTTTTGTAGTAATAAGATATAATTTCTTGCTAAGTGTGAAGTGATTAGCAAATGGTACGTTAACTCACTTTGCATTCTTCATATGAAATTTGTTTAAAACCTACTCAACATACCTTTCTTGTGACAACCATAACTTTTTGGCTTTCCTATCATAAGTAATCTATATACCCAAAATCTGTCGTGTTGGTTCCAAATCTTTCATATCAAATGAGCCAAACAATTTTCTTTTCAAACCACTAATCTCTGTAGTGTCTTGTTCCACTATCAACATATCATCAACACAAAACAACATAATGACAAACTTACCATCTGGGAATGTCCTGAAGTACATGTAAAACAACATAAAGCAACATAAGATAATTCCTTTTTTAAACCATAAATCTCTGTAGTGTCTTATCCTACTATCAACATATCATCAACATAAAGCAACAAAATGACAAACTTACCATTTTAAAATGTCTTGAAGTACACACATTAATCTACATCTGTTCTGGTGTAGCCATGATTGACCATGAAAAAATTAAATTTCTTGTACCATTCTCTCGGAGCCTGTTTCAATCTATACAAACTCTTTTTCAACCTGCAAACCATGTGTTCTTTTTCTTTAACTTCAAATCCCTCTGGTTCATCCATGTAATTTTTTTTTTCAAGTCACCATGAAGGAATATTGTTTTTATATCCAATTGTTTCAGCTCAATATCTAAACTAGCAGTCAAACCAAAAATTATCTTAATGGAACTAATCTTCATAATAGGAGAAAATATCTCATCAAATTTAATTCCTTTCTTCTGATTGAAACCTTTTACTACCAAGCGAGCCTTATATTTCACTAGTTTCTCATGGTCCATCTTAAACTTATATACCCACTTGTTTTTCAAAACTTTTCTATCTTTTGGAAGTTCAACTAATTCATAGGTATTATTCTTCTTCAAAAAGCTCATCTCTTCTTTCATTGCTTTCAATCACTGAGCCTTTTCTTGATGGTTTTGAACTTCTTAAAAGTTTTCTGTCTCCTCCTCTTTAGTAACTATAATATACTTAGAAGAGGAATATCTACTAAAAGGATGTGTTCTAGTCGATCTTCTAAGCTGAGGTTTTTTTATAACTTGGGATGCAAGGGGTTGCCCCCTCTTCAACATCATCTGGTGCTAACATATTATCAAACCCTTGATCATCATATAACTCTTCCTCATCTGTGGCATCTCTGATCGAAGGGAAAACTAGTGCAGAAAGAGGAATTTCATCCCTTATAATCTTATTTGATGTCTCAAAGTCTGATAAGGTCTTGTGTTCATCAAAAATCACATCTCTAGACTTGAAGACTTTCTTATTTACTGGATTCCATAATCTGTACCCAAACTCTACATCTTCATAACTCAGAAGAACACATGAAACTATTCTGTCATCAAGCTTCTGTCTCTGGACCTTAGGTACATGCATAAATATTTTGCAGCCAAATAATTTTAAATGAGAATAACTGACATCCTTCCTTGACCATACTCTCTAAGTGATATCAAAATATAAATGAGCTAATGGAGATCGATTCATCAAGTAACAGGCAGTGTAGAGTGCTTCACTCTAAAATAGTTTAGGTAAATTATTCCTTTTTAACATACATCTGATCTTTTCAATGAGGGTTTTGTTTGTTCTTTCAGTTACGCCACTATGCTGAAAAGTACCAAGCACTGTCTTCTCATGTCTGATTCCATGTTGTAAGCAGTAATTCTCAAACTCTTTTGAAGTGTATTCACCACCATTGTAACACCCGGACCCGAAATTTAGGCTTAGGATAATCAAATTATATTAATAAATAATTTTAAAATTTTTAATTTTTAATTTTGAAAAAATATACATTTTAAATGTATTTGAAAATAATTTTCAAAATTCAAGGCCAAATTGGAAATAAGAAATGATCAATTTGAAAAGAAATTTGAAAAACTGTGGCAAAAGTGAAAAAATAAAAAAGTTACCACGTGAGACTGCCACATCAGCACCACGGCTAGTCATCATACACCACATGGCAGACACACAGATACATGTCCACGTGGGAAGCCATGCAGGCAATCCGTGAGCCAACGGATCCAACGACTTAGATTTACCCCTGCGCACATGGACGACCTAGATTCGTTTCTCCTTCAAGCGCGATAGAACAGTCTTGATTGTATCCGATCGTGTGATCCTAATTCATTTTTCAAATAAGATAGATCTAACGGTTGAGGTTGGGTCACACCTCCTCAAATGGACGACCCAGATTGAAAGTGAAGAGGTATTTAAACTTCTCCACCCGGACACCAAAAACCCTAGTCGCCAAGAAGGAATCGAAAAAGAAGAAGAGGAGCAGTCGGAAGCGAACTAGTTGTTGGAGAAGAAGACCGGTCGTCATCGCTGCTGCACTAAAACCCGTTGTCAACCCTAAAAGGTGAGTTTTTCTCCTCTTTCGATTCGTATTTTAATTCTAAGCCACCCAAAACCCATATCGGCACTAAAAACCAAAGAAGAAGTCGAAAACAAAAGGTAGAGCTCAGTCGAGCCGTCGCACCACTGCACAAAACACCTCCAATGAGCCCGAATCTCCTTCCCGTTCCCTTTCATTTTCTGACCATTGGATTCCTAACTCTTTTCTCGTGCAAGGTGACCGACGAAAATTCCTGACCGTGAGGGATGAACGGTGGAGCCGCCGCACCAAAAAACCCACCCGTTGATAAGTCTCGATTTTTTTCTTTCTTTCACTAACAGATGCCACCTAACTTCGAGGTTTGCAGATTTTTGCACAAGACTGGCCAAAACCAATCAAGTCGAGAGGAAGCACCATCGTAGGTGGCGGAACCGGCGTCAGAGGTGGCATCGAAGCACGATGGCACCGCCGTGCCGAAACCCTAAATTGGCCCAGAAAATTTTAAAACCCCTATTTTGCCATTTTTAGGTATTTTCAAGATATATAATGCGTGTTTTCAATTTTTATATTCAAGAAATCCGAGAACCGGTAGGAAGTGCAGCGAAAAAAGGCGATATTT